GAAGCAACAAACAGAGGACACACGCGAACCAAACGGTTAGCTTCGAATATAATTTATTCAAAAGCTACAATCACAATGGAAAAGTAAAGAACACCGTAAAGAAAACAACTATGTATTGGAAACATCAGTAATGCCAATGTGTAATGCGAAATGTATGGATGTGGTGGGATGTAGTGTACTGGGGTGTTGGAGTGCAAAAGCAAACACAAGCCAAACAAGTCACAAAACCAAATATCCAAAACCGGAGCCCTCCTCTAGATCAAGCGGAGGCCTCTTTTAAAAGGAGCGTCTGATAGAGAGCAGGTGTCTCAAACGACGGCCAATCAAGGTAGTCCATGGACTCCTACAGCCATTCCACAAAGTAACGACAGAGGTCGTCACAGAAGCATATTTGCTTTGTTTCCAGTATATAGCCATGTTTTACAGTTTCTTTAAGATGTTTGGCTGATCAGCAGTGAATCTTTCTATATGTAGGCCAAGTGAATGTATTTGTGTATTTCCAGTGAATGTACTGTATGTTATGGAAAATAGCATGCAAGTTATTCTGATGTATATTTTCTTGAACACATTAATCATTAAAAATGTATCACCTTTTACCTACCTTCAGTGTCTGAAGTTTATGATTATTAAAATAACTTATATAAGCCTAATGAAAAAAAGTACCAATGTGGTGAATCTATGTTGAAGAAGTGTATTAGTGTAAAACCCATATTTAAAATAAACGTATAATATATGAGCAATATCAGCGGCTGTGATTAGGCCAGAGGCCAGAGTGCCGGAGGCAATCACAGCCGCTGATATAGAGCCGGTATCGCTCTCGTACTCGAGTGATATTGCGTTTATACAACAGTTCGACGGCACGAGTGTAAATATATAAGAAAAACAACAACGGAGTGTCTTTAAAAACCCTTTTGTGCGGAACTACTTCCTTCCGCCACATATTCAAATCTCAGTTTGACAGTTTAGCAGCTGAGCTGAAGCCTCCATTACTAATTCGAAAATGTCACTTTAGAACTAGTAATGAAGGTTGCTTCATTAAAAACTTATTGTATTACTGTATTAAAAGCTCACTGTATTATGTAGAGTATTGTGAGAGAGAGATGGACTGAGCGAGTGT